TGGCTGCTTAGCTTCTTATTAAACCACTCACAGTGTAAAGGAACATTCCACAGCATCAGAGTAGAGAATTTCCAGGTCAATAGCATTTTAGAGATGAATAGATATTATTATCATTATCATTATTATTTTTGAGACAGGGTTTCTGGCAGTCCTGGAACTCACAAGGCTGGCCTCAGAGATTCCCCCCTGCCTCTGCCTCCCAAGCACTGGGATTAAAGGTGTGCACCACCACTGCCCAACGAGAAGAGTTATTACTGACCAGCTGCACTCTTGTTCTTTTTTTTTTTTAATGTGAAAGTGTTTTTTTTTTAATATTTTATTTATTTATTGTGTATACAGCCTTCTTCTGCCTGCAGGCCAGCAGAAGGTATTAGATCTCATTCAAGGTGGTTGTGAGCCACCATGTGGTTGCTGGGAATTGAACTCAGGACCTCTGGAGAACAGTCAGTGCTCTTAACCGCTGAGCCATCTCTCCAGCCCCTGACTCTTGTTCTTAACACCACTGAGCTGTACACTAGGAAATAGTTAAGGTGTTATATTGATTACTTTTCTTGTTACTGTGAACCTCAGCCTGACAGCATCACAAGGGAGGACGGTTTCATTTCAGTTCAGTTTGAGGAGATACAGTCTGTTGTCCCAGGGAGGGCATGGGCAGGTGGCTATTTGGCGTTGGGAGTGTGTACCAGCTGTGTTATAGTTGGAACATGTGTTCACGTGGTCACCATATGGCGGCGCAGGGAGGGTTGTGGACCCTTTTGAAGGCGGAGCCTCTCTGGAGGAAGTAAGCTCCTGGAGGGCAAGCCTTGCTGTTGGGAGTCTTCCCTGTTATGTATCCATTTAACCGTAACACTGTAACCGCAAGCCAAAATAGTTTCCTTCTTGCCAGGTGTGTGGTCCCAGTAATGAGCGAAGAAACTAAGCTCCTGCCACTGTGACGAACTGTACCCACACATTGGGCGGCAAAAGAAACCCTTTCCTTCAGTTGCATTTACCAGGGTGTCTTATCCCAGTAGTTAGAAAAGGGACTCAGAAAATTAGTCCTGACGCAGAGCTGTTTGCTGTAGATGGAAGCTTTTGTCTCGCCTGGTCCCTTGGCCATTCAGTCCCAATAAATACGCAGAGGCTTCTATTAGTTATACACTGTTTGGCTGATGGCTCAGGCTTCTTACTGGCTAACTCTCTCTCTCTCAATTATTAATCCATTTCTGTTAATCTATGTATCTCCACGTGGTCTTGGCTTACCGGAGAATGCCTGGGTGTCCAGATTGGGAAATGTAAGCCAAATGAGCTTTCCCGTGCATGCTGGTTTTGGTGATAGCAATAGGAACCAAACTTGGGCGCCATGGGAGGGAAAGATAAGAAACGAGTGTTTTGAGTCTGGGCTCTTCAGACTTGATCGATCGAGCGTTCCATGGGAACTTTCCCATCGTTTCCAAGTGCTGGAGGAAGGAGAGAACAGTGCTGTGGTAGGCACTCCTGGTAAGGCACTCCCGGTAAGGACGAGAGCAGTTGAAAGCCTTTGCTGCTTCCCTGCCAGCTGCCTGATGGTCAGCAGTGACAGGTGCAGAGCTGAGTTCAGAGCACACTCCTGGAATTGGCAGGTGCTGGTGTCTGCAAACAGTGATTTGGACAAAAGCACATGGAATGGGAAAAGAGATAGTTCCTTAGAAGAGATAAACAAATGAACTTGGAAATGAGGCAGAGCTAGGCCCCGCCCAGATTCCAGAAGAGATCAAGATTGGGCCCCTGGGGGCTGGAGAGGTGGCTCAGAGGTTAAGAGCACTGACTGTTCTTCCTGAGGTCCTGAGTTCAATTCCCAGCAACCACATGGTGGCTCACAACCACCCGTAATGAGATCTGGTGCCCTCTTCTGGTGTGCAGACATACATGAGGCAAGATGTTGTTGTATTCATAATAAATAAATAAATCTTTAAAAAAAAAAAGATTGGGCCCCTGTTACCATTATGGGTCATTTATGTCTGTCTGCCCTCCCTCCCTCCCTCCTCCTCTCCTTCCCTCCCTTTATTTTCTTTCTTCAATACAGGGTTTCTCTGCATCCTGGACCTCCCAGAGATCCGCCTGCCTCTGCCTCCATCTCCCGAGTGCTGGGTGTTGAAGATATGCATTATCTCCCAGCCATGTTGTGCTTTTCTTTGTGACGATGTGGTTTTATTACACATGTCCCAGTGTTCAGGCAAGTTTCTGGCCTCCCCTTAATATTGGATTCCTTCGTTTACCCTGGTGCCTCTGGGATCTGTCCCTCTACCTTCAGCTAATTGACAGGGTCCCTGCTGTGGGAAACAGTTGCCCCATGGGTGACCCTTGGCTGTTAGCTACTTTCCGGCTTGATGTCACCAAATCCCTTTCAAGAAGCAACGTGAATGGAGAGCTTGTTTCATAAGCCTTCCGGTTTAAGAAGGAATCCTGTTCATTAATGTGTCGAAGTCAGGCAGCAGAGAGCTGGGCCATTAACCCTTAACACCCGCCCCTAGTGACATACCTCCTCCAGCAAGGCTCTGCTTCCTGAAGTTTCATCCTTTCCCAACAGCACCAGACACTGGGGACCAGGTGTCCAAACACATCTTCTGGGGGAGATTCCATATTCAAATCACAGCATCCCATCCTTGGCCATCTCATAATGCAGGATTCGTTTATTCCCACTTCAGAGGTCCCCATGAGTGCTCATGATGACTCGTTGGCTTAAAGCACATTATAATTGCAAACCCGAAGACCTGAGTTTAATCAGTGGAACTTATGGTGAGAGACTATAGCCAACTTCCAGAAACACGTGCAAGCGTACACACAGACATTTTCCCCCTTGTTCTGCCTGCTGACATTACCTGGTGACTCCTAACTAACCCACATCCCTACCATTAGGCTTTACTTTTGCTGTCACAGGCTACCTTTGCCGGATTTCCCTGACCATTACTGTAGGGAACACACTAAACCTGAGGTATGGAGGTAATTTCCCAGGTAATAAGCCGACAACATGGCTGCTCCTTGATTTGGTTAAAGGAAGGGTGTTTCTCTTGTGGATACGAGGGAGAGATCAGCCAGAGAGGCATTTGGAAGAGTCCAGAGCACGGAGAGAAACTAGTAGACCGGAAATGGCCAGCGTACTGGACCTGTCCAGGAGATGAGCAGGAACAGAGCAGAGAGGGACAGAGTAGGGACAAGGGGGCGGAGAGAGGAAGACAATGAGGACTTGGGGGAAAGAGGGTGCATTGCTGGGCAGCAGGGCTATGGGGGGCAAGAGTAGCTGGGGCGAGGGAAAATTCAGGTAGGGGAGGGGGTGAGAAGATCCAGGTTCACGGACTCTGAAATGTGTGACTGGTACTTCTGACACTGAGGGAGCCTGGAGGCCAGCGTGCTCTTCGGTATGCTAAGAGACACCACAGGTAGCCGTAAGTCCCTCCGGCCAGTGATAAAGGAAATGGCTTCTTTTGGTAGAGGAGAAACAGCTTTCAAAGAGTTCTTGAAGAATGCTACTTTTGTCTAGCCGCCAGCATCAGGGGAAATGGAGTTTCCTCTGTGTCTGACAGTCACCTTAAGGTTAGGGTCTGAGGAAAAAAATAACCCTACACACAGCAATAAAAAAAGTACAGTTTTAAAATTAAAAGTCCCGGGGCTAGAGAGATGGCTCAGAGGTTAAGAGTATTGACTGCTCTTCCAGAGGACCTGAGTTCAATTCCCAGCAACCACATGGTGGCTCACAATCATCTGTAATGAGACCTGGTGCCCTCTTCTGGCATGTGGACATACATGCAGACAGAACACTGTATAATAATAAAGAAATCTTTAAAAAAAAAAAAAAGTCCCCATGAGGCAGGAGAATAGGGTGGGAAAATCTCAAGAATATTTGTGTTTCAGGGAGTGACTTGTTTAGCCAAAGAAAACCAATCTATGAGCAAATTGTCTTTGGGATCAGCCTATATTGGTTGAGAAAAAACAAAACAAACCAAAACACCCCAAAACGACTTAACTACTTCTAGTGGCTTCTCACCCATTGATAGACTAAAGATTCCTTAGGAGGTAAATAAGCAAGATAACACTCATTCTTTTTTATTATTATTTAGGGATACAGCATGTACAGGTATCTTCAGAGACTGGGTCAGTGTTAGGGCTCTTGAAGCTGGAGTTAGAGCTGTGAGCTGCCTGGTGTGGGGGCTAGGAATTGTGTCCTCTGCAAGAACAGTAACTGCCTTTAATTTCTGAGCCATCTCTTCAGCACCCATGTACAGTTTATAATCTATAAACTTGCTTCCAAAGGCTGACGAGATGCCTCCGTGGGTAAAAATGCTTGATGTACGGCCGGGCGTTGGTGGCGCACGCCTTTAATCCCAGCACTCGGGAGGCAGAGGCAGGCGGATCTCTGTGAGTTCGAGGCCAGCCTGGTCTACAAAGTGAGTTCCAGGACAGCCTCCAAAGCTACAGAGAAACCCTGTCTCGAAAAACCAAAAAAAAAAAAAAATGCTTGATGTACATTATTGAGGCTCTTGAGTTCACATCTGGCACCCGTGTAGAAACCTGGGAATGTCTTCATGAGTGTCTGTAACCCCAGAACAGGGGCAGGTGGATTGCTGGGGGCTTGCTGGCCACCAGCCTAGCAAAAAAAAAAAAATTTGAATTCCAGCTTTTGGGAGAGACCCTCTTTCAAGGAAATAAGGCAAATAAGAGCAATAGAGCCGGGCGTTGGTGGCGCACGCCTTTCATCCCAGCACTCGGGAGGCAGAGGCAGGCGGATCTCTGTGAGTTCGAGGCCAGCCTGGTCTACAGAGTGAGTTCCAGGACAGCCTCCAAAACAATACAGAGAAACCCTGTCTTGAAACCCTCCCCCCCCAAAAAAAAAGAGCAATAGAGCAGGATACTTGATTCTCTTCTCTGACCTAATCATGGGTGTGCACACCCCTATAGACTTGTGTGTATACACCCCCCCACACACACACACACAGCCTCCTAATAAACCTGCTTTTCTGACGTCCTTCTCATTTTTTTTATAGGTACTTCCTACTTAACAGACATTGTGTGGTGGGCTGGCACAATTGCAAGTAAGTGACTTGTGTGGCACAGGTTCTGGTGACTGTCTATTTCTAAAGTCAGCCATTCACCTGGGCGGGGCTGGGAGGGACAAGAAGAGTACTCCCATACTCCTCCCCCACTCTGCACTTCAGATTCCCTGTCTCTCCCTGTTGCCCTTTCATTGGTCAGAAGAGAGGAGGCCAGGAAACCTGGAAGCTGGGATGCTGACTGGGAGGAGGAGGAGGAGGCAGAGGCTCCCACCGGGCTGCCCACCAGGTAGCCCCGATGGGGAGAAGTTAAAGCACTTTCTCCTTCCTCTGTGTGTAGCAGAGCTGATGCATCTGTTGTAACACCATGTCCAGGCTGTCTTGCTTTGTAAGCGCAGTTGATTTGACAGAGAAGTTTTTTGACTCAAGGGACAGATCAACTATCATGTGTTGCAACTTAAATAATAAGCGGTACATTTTTCTTTTAAAAAATGTGGTTTGTCATATACTGTCGTTCAAGCAAAATGCTTTGTAGCTGAGGCTGAGGCTGCTCATTGGGGGACCCCCCTTTTAAGCTCTGTTTAAGTGAAGCACCCAGGAGGCCTGTATAACCTAGCCCTGGCCAGCTTTACACGCAGGAGCAGGTCCGAGGACGCTTGAAGGTAGTTGGGAAAAACTGATCTCTGGGTGTCCCAAGTTGCTGGTAAAAGCATTAAGGTTCCTTGGTGTACTACTGCATAGTGCATCCGTAGATAATGAAACTACTCTGTATATCACAGGAATAGAAAGCATTTTGAGTGTTGGCACCATAAAGCAACGAAATACGTTTGATAGATAGTCGTGCCTAACCTGATTGATATAATATACAGCACATGTGTGTGCCCAGGTATCACGTGGTACCTACCCCATGTACTACTTTTATGTTACATTTTGGCAATAAATAAATAAATAGGAATGTAAAAGCAGAAATATTTTAAGACTAGAAGTATATTCAGTCTTGTACTTGTTACTGTGGTAAGACTGACATTTCTGTAGAGTTGAGATTACCCCCCCCAACCAGTGAAGTTCTGCCATTGGGGTTTGTGAACATGTAGATTCACTTCCTCAGAAATGGTGCTAAGAGGGAGTGCCAGCACACAATCCCACTGCCAGAGAGTCTGGGAAACAGACCCTTCATCCAGCGACTGATGAAAACAGAGGCAGATACCCACAGACAAACACTGACCTGAACTCCTGGAATCCAGTGTCAGAAGAGAGAACTGATGGACAAAGGAGTTAAGATTGGGCTGATTTAACCCACAGAAACAGTTGACCTGAACAAGGGGGAGCTCATGGACCCCAGATTGATGGCTGTGTGGAAAGCATGGGACTGACCCAGACCCCCTGAATGTGGGTGTCAGTGAGGAGGCCTCAGCAATCTATGGGGCCTTTTACCCCTGGCATACAAATAGACTTTGAGTGCCCATGCCACAATATAGGAGGCTCTCTCAGCCGGGACTCTTGGGGGAGGGCCTAGGCCCTGCCCTGGATGACATGACAGTCACTGGAGATCCACCATGGAGGGCCTCACCCTCCCTGGGGATTGGACTGGAGATTGGGTGGGGGACTGGGGGACCTGGTGGGGAGGGTGGGGGAGGAGGGGAGGGAGAAGGAGCTGGGATTGACATGGGAAACAAGATTGTTTCTAACCTAAATAAAAAAAAAAAAAAGAAACCCTTCAGAACAGAGTCTTGGAAAATCTTGATTGGTGATAAAAATGCGTTGTCGTCCTTGTGATTCTCTTGATAGTGGCTGTTGGCCAGATTGGAAACTTCCTGGCTTACACCGCGGTCCCTACAGTCCTGGTGACTCCCCTGGGTGCACTTGGAGTACCATTCGGGTGAGAACTGACCTTCTGTTTTGATAGTTAATATTCAACTTACATAGGAAATAACCTTTTGTTATAAGTGTTTCTGTTAAAAAATAAAATTGTTGATGAAGATAGGTCTCTTGTACTTAAGAGTTCGTATTTTCATTTTAGTTCTTTAAATATATTTCTTTTTTGTTTTTTTTTTTTGTTTTTTTTTTTTTTTGAGAAAGGGTTTCTCTGTGTAGCTCTGGCAGCCCTGGAACTCGATCTGTAAATCAGGCTGGTCTCAACCTCACAGAGATGCACTTGCCTCTGCCTCCGTGTGCTGGGATTAAAGGAGTATGCCGCCATGCCTAGCATTTGTGGAATGTATCTCTATGTGTTACTAGTGCTTCTCTTAGAACTCACCCAGTGTATTTTGAATTCTAGTTTATTCACGACTATCAATGAATCTGCTGCTGCTTACTCTACTGGGCTTTGCTCTTTTTTTTTTTTTTTTTTTTGTGGTTTTTTTCGAGACAGCGATTCTCTGTATTGCTTTGGAGGCTGTCCTGGAACTAGCTCTTGTAGACCAGGCTGGTCTCGAAATCACAGAGATCTGCCTGCCTCTGCCTCCTGAGTGCTGGGATGAAAGGCGTGCGCCACCACAGCCTGGCCTGAAAAACTTCTTAGAGCCTAGAGTCTCCCTAACACACCGTGCATGTCATTCTGAGAAACCTTGTGTAAAATGTCAGTTTGTGTTTTATTTGGGTGCTTAGCACCCTTTGCTGGGCAGGCATTCTCCTGCCTCATCCCAGTAAAGCTCAGAAGGTGGATTCGTGGCATGTGGGCATCGGTGCCTGTAGAAGAGGGTTTGTCATCATAGTCCAGCACGGGGGTGCCCTGAGTGATGAGTGAGAACTTTGGCTTCTGCTGTGGTTATGGGTGATCTGGACGGGATCTTGCACACTCGCGTTGGAGTTTCATGGGTTGAAATGCTTGTGACAAGAAATCTGGGCCTCAGGGACTAGGAGGCTTACTCAGTTCTGGAAAAAAGTAAAGTTTGAAAGAGTGCCAGCTGCCAAAAGTGACCTTTACCATTTTCTCTTGCTGCAATAAAATGACTGAGAATGGATTGTTTTGTTTTGTTTCCGAGACAAGGTTTCTCTAGCTTTCTGAACGTGCATTGGAACTAGCTCTGTAGACGCGAACCCACAGAGATCTACCTGTCTCTACCTCCCAAGTGCTGGGTGGATTTGTTTTTTTAAGAAACAAGGTTTTAATTTTGGTTCATAGCTCTAGAGGCTACAGCACAAGATTGGGTGGCCTTTTTTTTTTCTTTTGAATGTATAGCCCTGACTATCCTGGAACCTGCTATGTAATCCAGGTTATCCTTGGTTTTTACAGAGACCTGCCTGTCTCTGTCTCTCAGGTGCTAAGGTGAAGGTATTATAGAACCATGCCTAGATGAGTATTTATTTTTTATTTTTAATATGAGTCTATGTGTGGTCTGTGTGTGGGTATGTACACGTATGAGTGCAGGTGCTCTGTAAATCCAAAAGAGGATATTGACTCTCCTGTCAGTGCTGGGAACTGAACTCACCGTCTCTGGAAGAGCCGTGTCTCTCCAGCTCCCGACAACCCCATTTGTGAGGCCTGGAATCTACTTCCTTTCTTGGCAGAAAGCCCATGGGCCATCCATAGTGCAGTCCCACATGATAACAGTTGATTCAGTGGCAGCTAATCCAGCCCTGGGAGAGAGGCTTTAATCTCTTTTAAAGTTGCTCATCAAGTTTCAGCAGTAGTGATTTGTGGGGACAAACCACAGCCAAACGCTGGTCTTACTAGAAAAAATGTTTCTATGAGACCTTTACTGGCTATATCAACATAACCAGCTACCAAGATACTGATGTTCTGCTGTACCTCTGAAGACGCTGTTAATAGGAAACAGGATAATCGGAGGTGTTGGCGCATGCCTTTAATCCCAGCCCTTGGAAGGCAGAGGCAGGTGGATCTCTGGACTACAGAGTGAGTTTCAGGACAGCCAGGGCAATGCAGACAAATGGACAAATGAAAAGGGTAATATAACGATATTCGATGCTATATATGGAAAACAATATATTTATTTACCAGAGAGAGAGAGAGAGAGAGAGAGAGAGAGAGAGAGAGAGAGAGAGAGAGAGTCGCACAGACCAGGAGTTAGAAGTGTGCCTGGCTTCCAGGAGAAAAAAAGGGGAACTCCTTTTCCTTTCACTTCCTTTTATCTCTACCTGTGCTAATTTACTTGTCCCCGCCCTGATGGGTGGATAGCTTTGTGGGGTTCACTCCTACAGGGTAATTAATACACTCATCGACAGTGTAGAAGAGAAATAAGCTGTTTCATCTCAGGAATGTGTTGGCTTCAGCCAGCCAGGCCCACAATTCCGGCCGAGAGGAATCTCTGTGGCAAATGCGTTTATGAGCCTTAACCTCGCTTTAGGATCCTGTGGTCTCGGGGCTGGGGAGACGGCTCAGCAGCTAGGAGCACTTGCTACCCGTTCCGAGTGTTTGGGTTTGGTTCTGCTCACCTAAGTGGCTGCTGGGTACCACCCGCATCTCCCGTGTCAGGACACCGTCTGCTGACGCTGCCCTCACACGGTGCCTGGGCTTACATTCAGGCAAACGCTCACACACACAAAGTAAAAGTGAATGAAAACCTCAAAGGGAAGATTCTGTGGCCTAAAAAAGCCCCAACTGTTCTTTTCACGTGCAATCCTGAAAAATGGGTTCTTACCACATTGTTCTCATCCGTACAATGTGCTTGCTCTTAATGCCCCTTTGTATTTTGGGTGTCCCAGAAAGTCTTGGGAGTGCAGGAACCTGTGTATGCCTGAGTAAATCCTCAGCTTTCGTAGTCTGTCTCTATGGAAGGGAAGCTGATTCTGTGATCTCCGAATGTGGCCCACTCTGTCCTCATGTCCTCTTGTAGTTAGGTAATCCACGGATTCAGTTCTGCAGGAGGTGTTACTCACCCACTGAAGTAGAGGACTTTTCCCCCCACCTGTGGTTCTAGGGACCACACACAGAACTATGGGCTTGCTCCAAGGAATATACTATTGTTTTTTTTTTTAAGTAGATAAATCAGATTAAATTGTAAAACAGCAAAGACAGCAAAGTATATGTATGCATGGTTTATAAAAATGTTCTGAGTCGGGTGCTGGGCAGTGGTGGTGCATACCTTTAATCCCAGCACTCAGGAGGCAGAGGCTGGCGGATCTCTGTGAGTTCGAGGCTGGGCTAGACCAATAGCCTCCAAAACAATACAGAGAAACCCTGTCTCGTAAAAACCAAAAAATAAAAAAAATAAAAAAATAAAAATGTTCTGTTGATAATGGTTGGCTGGCTGAGTTTACAAAGACCAAAAGAATATGGTACTGGAAAGAAAGTCAGTTTATATTTCTGAATAAAACAGAGAGCCCCCCACTTTTATATGCAACAGTTTATTGCATGATAAAGTAATCGTTACAATATACTTTTAAATAGAGGTTTTTAAAAATACGATTTCTTTATTTTTATTTCATGTGCATTCATGTTTTACCTGCATGTATATCTGTGTGAAGTTGTTGGGTCCCTTGAAACTGGAATTGCAGACGGTTATGAGCTGTCATATAGCTGCTGAGAATCGAACCCAGGTCCTCTGGAAGAGCAGCCAGTGCTCTTAACCGCTGAGCCATCTCTCCAGCCCCTTAAATAGAGGTTTTAACAAACTAATTTGGTAATGATTTCCAAATCACAGAAAATCATCTAAATTAATGCCAAAAGCCTCCACCAACACACATCTCTTGTGGATATTTTACCTTATGCTCTCCGTCCTTGACTTTCCTTAATCAGGGTTTGTTAACCTTGGCACTGTTGCCATCTGAGGCCAGAGATTTCTTGTTGGGTGTATGAGGCAGCTGTCCTATATACTGTAGGTTGTTTAGTGGCATCCCTGGCCTCTGTCTACCACATGTGTTAATTTCCCCTCCCCAAAGTATCTCTAGACATAAACAAATCAATCCATGTGTCCCACAGTATAAACGGGTTAATATATATAAGAGGACACAGGGCCTGGTGAAGGCACTTGCCACAAAGCCAGATGACCCACGTTGAATCCCTGGAACCCACGTTTGACATGCGTACCTCCTCCAGAAAAAAACGTTTCAAACGACTGAAAAAGGAAGATACAGTATATTATCTAAGGGGCAACCATGAGGATGTTGGAAGAGCTACCCACCAGGCAAAGCAGATTCTACAACAGCAAAAAAAAAGTTACTGAAGGACTTTTTATAATAAAACGGGTCAGTTCATCTGGCAGATGTAACAGTTGAGCAAAAATATGCACACAGAACAACTTGAGAATACGTAGAGCCAAACAGGGAAAAAAAAGGGGGGGTGATTTATAGAGATGGCTCCACAGTTGGGAGCACTGGCTGCTTCTTTCAGAGAATCTCCTTTTAGTTCTCAGCACCTACGTGGTGTTTCATGGCGGTCCAATGCTCTAGTCCCGAGGGATCCGACACCACCTTCTGGCCTCTGCAGCAGGTGATTCACAGACATCCACGCAGGTATAACACCCATAACACCCGTATACAGAAAAACAAGTAGGCAAAAAATACTTAATGTCCGTGATGACAATGGAGGGCGTGAATGTGATAAAAGCTTTGTGAGAGAGAAAAGACCTGAGCTCAGGCCCTTGCTCAGTCCTCCACTGTGCTGGGTGAGGAAGATGCCAAGCAGACCCAAGTGCTGTGTATGCCCTTGAACCCTCGTCCTACAGAACTGATCTAAACCAACCTTTGCTTTCTGTAAATTACATAGTTGCTGCTCTTACTTATATAAGACACCACTATGACTACTAAAACCAGAAATAAAAGAGACGTCTTGACAACTATCTGGAAATGGAAAATAGTTATAGGGCATCAGATTGTTAGGAGAAATGAATGAACACATTCCTAGAGAGACTACTGAAAGTGTTTCAAGAAGAAAACACACATTTCTAATTCCTAATTTACAAACAACAACAACAACAA